CGGGGGGATGGCGTCCCCCCGCGTCCCCCCCCAAATGACCCCTGATAGTGTCCAACAGGTTTGTAACCTTTGAGAACCACAGATTCCATTTGAGATATGAGCTGTGCCTACATTACTGTGGAAATTGGGGTGAGTGTAAAATGTTACTATATGCGGTGGCTTTAATATAGATGTACTGGAATATATACATTCTGAACCTCTCTTTGGCTTTTCATATTTCATTGTTGTATTGTTATTTTGTTATTTTGTAGTTCCATTTTCAGCTGTACAACTGAAGAAGATTGCTTTGAAATGTCTGGCATGCCTAGGAAGGACGTTTTCGGCTGTTAGAAGTTTATTTGTGCTTTGCGGCATCCTCTGCCTTTTTTGTGGACTTTGAGGTCTTTTGGACACTATTACGTTCAAAGACTCTTCTTCGATATTTTCCACTATCATCAAATTGTATTTTGAAGTTACTATTGTCTGGCTCATAGTAACACTAGGGGCTGACTGACGACAAATGCATGGGGTGAGGACAACAGTTGGTTTTACCTATAACCTCAACTTTTTCACACACTTTCTTCAGTCCTGACAAAATTCAAGTTCCTGATGTAAGCATATCTCTAATAAAGCATCACTTCCAATAGTGTTGTGGAGAGTGTATTATCTGGGGACCTGACAATATGTTGGTATTGCAAGCTACCAAATGCAGACTGTTTGCATATGTGGTGGACATGTGAGTGGACCAAAAAATACTGACTATCCATTGTAGACTTTCTGAAATGTGGATTAGGTATGGATTTTCCCCATTCCTCTGAGGTTATCTTGTTAAGCTATATATCCATGTTTCTGATAGATTTTCGAAAGAAGCTCATTCATCAGATAACAGTAGCTAGAATTACTTTTGTGTGATAGTGGAAGTCAGGTAATATCCCACCCATACAAGAATGGATCGTGAAATGTTAAGAGGCCTTTTTGGTAATTAACTTGACATTCTAAAAAAGAGGGGAAGATGTATCTCAATTGAATATAGTCTGGCAAAACTTTTTCCCCTGCAGAGTTGCTCAGCTGATGTAATTAAGTGGAGTACAAAGATTTCAGCAGAATGGTATTTCAAATGTGTCAGTTATCTATATACTAATACTGAAGTTACCCCCGTGCATGCGGATACCTAAATCCGTGCATTGGGGGCACCTGGGGGGGGGAGGGAGATTTTCGTGCACACTTGGGGCAGTCCCCAGGTGTGCACAAAAATCTGAAAAGTTGGAAAAATATCGGGGGGATACTTAAATCCCCATAAAAGTAACAGAGCATCCCCTGCGCATGCGCAGGGAACGCTCTTGGAACGGCTTCGACAGTGGCAACAGGGGACGGGTGGGCAGCGATTCAAGCGGTTTGGAGCAGGGGGGGAGGAGGCGGGCGGGGGGAGATCGAGACGGGGGGTGGAGGAGACGGGGGAACTGGCGGGATGGAGGGGACAGCTTACCTGCTCCTGCTGGTTCCTCCTTCGCCTGCTCAGTTTGGAGCTCCCCCGCCCCCGCCGCGGGTTTCGCGGGTCCTCTTTCTTGTTTTACTATATTTCTGCTAATGTATTATGTAATCTCAAACAAAGTTTTATGAAAAAGGTGCATGGGTGTGTAAGTAAGAGAAGTGGATGGCAAACGTAACTCAGGCAATCCGTGTCTCCTGTGGGTGCCCCCTCCCCAATCGCAAACCAGCAGTGAGCATTTCTCCTTTGGTCTGAATGCAAATTAAGACAAGCCTTACTTTCCTTGGAGCCACAAGCAGGGCTATTTCTGGGCAGGAACGCACAGGTATGGAGTTCCGGCTGGCTCCAGAGTTGGCCACGCCCAGCAGGAACTCATTAGCATAATAGGCCACACCCAACCACTGAAACTCATTAGGACTGGCTACATTAGATGTGTGTGGCCTAACGTGCAAGGGAGTTCCTGCTACAAAAAAAAAGCCCAGGGTTTGGACAACAAACGAGGTAAACAGAATAAGAAGCAAAAGGTGGGTGTGGCTGGATGAGCACACTTCTGGTAACATGGGGGTGTGGCCTAATGTGCCAATGAGCTGTGCTGTCAGGGGTGTGGCCTAATAGGCTAATGAGTTTCTGCTGTTGGGTGTGGCCTATTATGCTAATGAGTTGCTGCTGGGCTTTTTCTACAAAAAGAGCCCTGGATACATACAAACCCAGTGTCCTGCCATCCTGGTAGTTGTAGCTCCAGAAAGCATGCATCCGGTAAGGAATGGAGGTTTTACTTTAGAAACCTCCATTCAACCAATGCAGTGCAATGATGATAGTAATGACATAAGCAAAATATTCATACAAAGAAGTCTTTAAATGCATCTGGAGTTCTGCCTAGGTATTTATAATTGGTCACTTGTTCAATGGGATTCCCATTTACAAACCACAGTTGTTTCTTTTGTCTAGGTCCAAAAGCAATGACCTCTGTTTTCTGGTCGTTTATTTCAAGGTTATCAATTTGGCAGGAATTATCGAATTTTCTTAGGGCTCTCCTTAATCCCAACGGGGTTCTTGAAAGAAGGACAGCATCATCCGCATAAAGATGAATGGAGATGTGTCTACCATGTATTTTTGGAGGATGTAGATCAGGAGATAAAGTCCACAACATCATTTATGTAGAAATTGAAAAGGAAAGGAGCATGCAGACAGCCTTGGTAGATGTAGCTCCAGAAAGCGTGCATCCGGTAAGGAATGGAGGTTTTACTTTAGAAACCTCCATTCAACCAATGCCGTGCAATGATTCTAGTAATGTCATAAGCAAAACATTCATGCAAAGAAGTCTTTAAATGCATCTGGGCGAGATTGACAGAAAGCAGCAGCCCACCACTGATAATTTAGGGAACCATGCCCCCCCCCAGCCAGCTGGGCAGTAACCAATCCCCCACCCTGGACAGTTGACTCCAACAAGTGTTTTGTATATGTGCTTCTAACCACATCATGGATTCCAGTCTAGGTAAGTCTCCTAAGTTAGGGGCACAAGGGATTTTATCTTTCCCACCCCTTGTAAGTGCTACCACCTACTGCTAAACAGACATTGTGAAATTTAAATAACTCGATTTAGGTGTGCCTGACTTTGTGATGCATGTTCTTGGAATGCCTGGTATTTGGGGTTGTGTTGGTGGTGTTCTTTTTGGCTGCCACAGGTCCTAATATATATCCTAATTGTTTAAAGTACAAATCAGCCAACAGCTCTGGGTTTCATAGAGCCTACGGCATAAAATATGTGATCCTATGTGGACCTGCTTCTGTCTAAGACGGTGGAGAAACAAATCAAAAATAAGTATTTATTTTTAAGAACTGAGCAAACTTCACAGCTCAATGGAATTGTTTCTGCCACCAACCACCAAGGTAACCACTGTGGCTCTAGATGAGACCACTTACAACCCTTTTACAAAATTCACAACTCTGTCCACCCCACTTTTGGCACATGAAAGAGAAAGCAGAGGCATATCGATGGAGAAGATGGCTCCATGGAATCCATCTGCAAGGTGGTACCAAGTCACAGGAACCCCCTCATCCTCTAACCTCTTTTTGTACAGTAGTCCTTCATCTCTGAGGACATCATATTCACATGTTAAAATGAACATCTCTGGGAGCTGCTGGACAATGTCCACATCAGCAAGAAGGGGTGAAAAAATGGTATCAAAAGCCTCCTTGACTTGTTGGTGAATTTCTGGTGAGAAGACAGCCGGTGGTGGTGGTTTGTAGCCTCTGAGTTTGAATTCCTTCGGGATGACATCTGGACTTATCCAGCTCCTCAACTTCATTTTCATGTCCTCGGGAATGTGGGAGCCTTTTCTTAATTCTTTCGCTACAGACTTGCTTTTCCCGAGATACTGAACACCTGCTTCTACTATTATTCTTTGGAAAAATGGGGGCACAAATCGGTTTTGCTGATGGGAAGGTAAATTGAAATCGATGGCTTGTAAAAAAGGGTAGAGCAAGATCTGAGCACGTACTTTGGGGACGTCCGTTCTTTTGACCAGTTCTTGACAAACAGCTGCCGTGAATGTGCCCCCTAGACTATCTCCACTAATGACGATACACTCGGGATCCACTCCATAGTCTTCTGCATTCTTCATAAAGTGGATGGTGGCGACGAGACAGTCCTTGAACTGTCTAGGATAGGGGTACTCAGGAGACAGACGGTACCTGTAACAAACACCTCATAAATTCAATGTATCTCATTTGATAATTGAATCACCTTCAGTAAATGTGGAGGTGGTGAGATCTGTGTACTGTGTCTTTGCTGGCATGGCTACAATTGTAAACACCTGGCTGTATACTAGATGGTGGATGAGCCAGATGTTTCTAATGAGGACTTCAGAGCTTGCTTACAGGGAGTGTGACTTCCTTCCTTTAGCGCAATCCCTTGTGATCTGTCAGATGGGAGCACACCCGCACTCAGGTAGACAGGCTTTACCATGTGCCCCACCAGTTCATTCCATCTGTAATCCAGGTGGCCACTGGGGGGGGGAGGATGTGGCTTCCCTGCCCAACCTAGACCTCAGGGAGGGAAGTTGTTCTCAGGCTCGCCACCACCCTGTGACAGGAATCTGACCTTGACCTCGACACTGGCAGAGAGCCCATGCATGCTCAATCCACCCACTTAGTCCTCCATCACCCCCATCTCCCAGCAAGGTTCCAAAGTTAGGTGAGTCATGAATGAGGCATGTGAGCACTGGCTTGTGGAGGCAGTGGCACCCTGATCAACCAACAGCTCCTCACCTCTTGTAAAACCAGTGTTGGGGTCCAGGGCCAGGCACAGTTGGTAGGGGAAGGATTTTTTTTAACCATGTGGCATATCGGCAGACCATCTCATTGAGCATCGGCCGGGAAGGGCTGGTGTTTCAGGAGGGAGGGTGGCGTGGGAAAGCACTTTTGCAAGCAAAGAGAAACATAAAGAAAACCAATATCATGCCTCTTTTTTAACATGAGAAAGGGAACTCTAAAGGCTGCTTTGCCTCCAGACCTTATTTCTGGCAGGTGAGTCCGCTTCCTTGAGTGCGTCCCTGTGGGCCAATAATCATCCCATGGTGTCCAACCACCAAGTAGCTCCATAGTAGGGTTTGGAGGAACCCAAAGAGGGATTCTCCAACAGGAAGAACCTCCCACATTCTTACTAAACCAGGCTGGGGAACGAGGTCAAAGTGGTGGGACCTGAGCATTCTACTACAGAGCACTCAAACTGTGTTTGGTTCTGGCTTGAATTTAGATAGACAAGATTCTCTGGGAGTGTAAGCCTTCCCTGTTTTGAGACCTCACCTGCTAGAATTTTATCTCAAATAAAGATTCCGTTGATGTTTGTATTTCCATGGCTTGAAACATGAACCAAATTTTCCAGTTTAAATTGTATGTTTGGTGTAGTGATTAAGTGCACGGACTCTAATCTGGGACAACCGGGTTTGATTCCCCACTCCTCCACTTGCACCCACTGGATGACCTTGGGCAAGCCATAGTTCTGGCACAGCTGTTCTTGAAAAAGAGCAGTTTCTGTCAGAGCTCTCACAGCCCCACCTACCTCACAGGCAATGCTCCCTCTAAGCTGCAGAGTCTTGTGAGCAAAAACTCTACTTTGTGAGCTACTGGCGTTGAAGCTGTGAGCGAGCGATTTGGCTACGGCATCAATTGGTTTGCTCCGGAGCCAGCCTTCCTAAGCTAAAGCAAAAATGTGTGAACCAGAGGCTAAAAAACTGTGAGCTAGTTCACACTAACTCAGCTTAGAGGGAACACTGCTCACAGGGTGTCTGTTGTGGGGAGGGGAAGGGAAAGGAGATTGTAAGCCACTCTGAGACTCCTTTGGGTAGTGAAGGGTGGGGTATAAATCCAATCTCTTCTTCTTCTTCTCCTTATTCTATGGTTGCCACTGTGGTTGACAACAGGCAAATGGCACAAGAAGTAAAAAAAATCTCTTTTCTCCTCTTCTTCCTTGCCAGCATCTTGGATCCTGCCTCAGCTGGGTTCAAAACACAAGGGTTTGCCCTGAGAGCACTATGCCTCTTCCTCACTGAGATCTTGTCAGTTGATCTTGAGATGAAGGGTTTTTCTGCAGGTGGCATTCCATTGCTTGTGTGCCTGCGTTACGTCAGGTTTCTTTTCTTTTCTGCGTGTGTTTTGCGCCCTCTGGTGGTGGATTCAATATTTCATTGCTGTATCACTGGCTTATTCCAGAGTGAAAGTGCAGGGAAATAAGCCAGGAATACAGAGATGAAATATCAAAGTGGCCACTAGAGGGAACCAAACATGCAGGAAAAGGGGGGGGAATGCAGTGTGAGCAAACAAAAATGAGGTGCACGGAAAAAGCCCTACAATTCCCAGGGCCTATCTGGTGTTTAAATGGTGCTGACGCAGCATTCAGGATCTTACAGTTAGACCCAAATGGCTACTCACTTAGATCCAAATGATACATTACAAATTAAACAAGTCTGCGACAGGGACTTGCGACCATACTGCCACTGTGAGTTCCTGGTGGGACTCTGTTTAAAAGTGCCATGGGAGCTCGGTTCAGATTGGGAGCATAGCACTGTGGTGAGGCGGCTCCTGCCTTCTCTATGTGCCATTTTCCCAAGCTGAAACAACATCAGGAAGACATCATTTGCCCATTTGAAGTCTCTGCATGCATGCTGGGGCAAATGACAACCCCAGCATTGTTTCAGCATCTCCCAATCTAAATCTTGAGGTTTGGAAGAGAGGGAAAAGACATTCTTATTTTGACAGACCTTGACAGAGCTAATTGCTTGCATCTGTTTATGGACACTATTTGATACCTTATTTGATAGAGTAATCGTTATTTTTAAGCCCTGTTTCATTATGACACTCTTCATCTTGGGTTTAATTCTTTTTTAAAAATAAAATGTAGGGGAGAAGAGCTGGGGGTGTGTGGCTTCACAGAGTGATCATTGGAATGATGTGGTGCTACTGCAGGCTGGACAGCCATCTCCCAAGTTTATCAGAGATCTCTAAAAGACCTACATAGGGCCTGAGTGGGAGCTGTGAGGCTGACAGAGAAGGCAGTCACAGGTCTCCTAAGAGGATGCAACTCTAGTTACTTCCTCCTATGTCACTCAGAAACACATCTCTACTAGACCCCAGGGCTATTTTTGGGCAGGAACGCACAGGAACGGAGTTCCGGCTGGCTCTTGAGTTGGCCACGCCCAGCAGGGACTCATTAGCATAATAGGCCACACCTAACAGCAGACACTCATTAGGATTGGCTACATTAGGGGTGTGTGGCCTAACATGCAAAGGAGTTCCTGCTACAAAAAAAGCCCAGGGTTTTGACAACAAAGTAAACAGAATAAGAAGCAAAAGGTGGGTGTGGTTGGATGACCCCACTTCTGGTAACATGTGGGGTGTGGCCTAATATGCTAATGAGCTGTGTTGTCAGGGGTGTGGCCTAATATGCTAATGGGTCTCTGCTGTCGGGTGTGGCCTATTATGCTAATGAGTTCCTGCTGGGCTTTTTCTACAAAAAAAAGCCCTGCTAGACCCCATGTTATTAAGACCTCTTCTAGAACAGTTTCACTTAACCATTGTTTTCAGGAACACAACCCCAGTGTTCAAGAAGGAACTACTGTATTGCTGATGTATTTTAAGTATTCAGCCAGCTGGGCTCTGAGAAGGGGCAGGAGAGGGAGCTGCTGCTGGAGTGAAGCATGGCTGGTGAGGGAGCTGAGGCAGTGACATGCAAAGTCTGTGGCAGGTCCATATTCTGTGTTTCTGAACTGAGAAGAAAGCGGATTGGAGATGGAATAAATAAATAAACGAACTGAATTTATGTTATTTCCCCCCCAATATGGAGGTGTTTAAAAAGTTGTTTGGAGATGCAGATTTTTTAAAAAAGACACTGGGCCAGTCCGTGAACTCTCACTTGTAAGTGTTGTGAAGTTGTCACAGACCTATGGCGACCCCAGTGTGAGGCTTTCAAGGCAAGTGAGAATCAGAGGTGGTTTGTCATTGCAAGTACCAATCTAGACAGCTTCCAAGATCCGATGAGATCTGGCTACACCACCACGACTTCCTTCCCTCATACTATAATCAAATCTGTAACAAGCATTAGACCGGACAGAACTGACTTACCCAACGGAGACAACCACTGAGTCACTTTCCCTAGCAAGAAAGCGGCATACTCGTTCGTAGGAATCTGGATAGGAGGAAATGACAGAGTTTGGTACATACAGTGTTTCCCACAGGTTCATGTCCAGATCATTCAACACTAGGCTCAATTTCACACTAGGGCCGTTCACCAGAAACCTGTCAGTGCTGGCCTGCTTTTGCTTATTTATTTATTTATTTTGAAAAATGGATATTTCACCTATCCAAAGAGCAGCGAATGGTCTGCACATGGAATTGCGATGGAGGTTGCATCAGCAGATAATGCACCACTCAGGTGCTTCCCCTTCCAGATCTTCCGTTCTGCACAAGAAATGGTTCTGATATGATCGTGATAATGCCCCTCCCACTGTTCACTAATACCAATGTAAGAATGCTTCCATGACCAATTTGCTTTTAAGTGAGGCCATTTACACTATTACTTTATGGCAGGGCTCTTTTTCGAGAAAAAGCCCAGTGGGAACTCATTAGCATAATAGGCCACACCCAACAGCAGGAACTCATTAGCATATTGGGCCACACCCCTGACAGCACAGCTCATTAGCATATTAGGCCACACCCCACATGTTACCAGAAGTGGGGTCATCCAACCACACCCACCGTTTGCTTGTTATTCTGTTTACCTTGTTTGTTGTCAAAACCCAGGGTCTTTTTTGTAGCAGGGACTCCTTTGCATGTTAGGCCACACACCCCTAATGTAGCCAATCCTAATGAGTTTCTGCTGTTGGATGTGGCCTATTCTGCTTTATGGGATTATTATTATCAGGGCTATTTTTGGGCAGGAACGCACAGGAACGGAGTTCCGGCTGGCTCCCAAGTTGGCCACGCCCAGCAGGAACTCATTAGCATAATAGGCCACATCAAGCAGAGGTGGTTTGCCCTTCCCTTTCTCTGCATGGGAACCCTGGATTTCCTTTCTTCCCCCCCCTCTCCTAAAAAGGAGAGAAGTTTCGCTTTAGAATTCAGAAAAAAAGGGAAGGGTATATAGAGGGACAAAGAAAAGTGTGAGTGATGTTAATACAGGTATATTAATCTGTTAGTATTAAAGGCAAAGTTCAAATCACGGTGTGCGTCTTCTTCTGTAGTTGGGTAATCATCTGTTTCTTCGTTCTCCTTTCAAATCGGGCAATTAGTATGTTAGTAAAGTCCTTTTGGGGTTAATAATCCTTCTATGACACTGTCCAGATAAGTCCTCAAAATTTAAGATATTTCCCCTTTTTTCTCTCTTAATAACCCTGGACTTCCTTGACGGTCTCCCATCCAAATACTAACCATGGCCAATCCTGCTTCGTTTTCAAGTTCTAATGAAAAGCTGCTAGGGATTCGTGTTAGTATGTCTTTTCCCCTCACTGTTCTTCAGCAGCAAATCTGCTAATCCCACATGCAATTCCCAGAGACAAATTTGTGCAACTCCCCCCTTCTGGTAGGGCTCCCTCCTATTTCAGCTAAGTCTTCTAGAAGCTCCCTGCTCTCCCTCTCCGAACCAAATTTTTCCTCGGTCCATTCTGTATCTAGCATTCACTCTGTTGTTTTACCAAACCCACACTGGAACAGAAAAAGATGTGGCTCAACACCACATTCAAGTACCCCGGGGCCAATGCCATACTGGCTGCAGAGTCTCCCCTGAATGGCCATAAAATGGCCATAAATCTATGCAGACCATAAAACCAAGTGATCTAACAAAATGAAAGTAGCATGCAGTCGGGACACTGCCATAAAATCCAACAATCAATCAAAGTGAAAGTGGCATGCAATGCAGAAGGGCATTTCTGTTCCAACGTGGGTTTGATACAACAGCAGGGCAAATGCTAGACGCAGAATGGGCCCTGGAGAAATAAAGAAACAGCACTAATTCTCAGTGGTGTCAGAATGAAAATGATTTCCCCCCCAGGTGAATCCAGCTATTGTCACTTCACTGCTTGGAGGTAACAGACAATAGGACAGGAAGTTATAATGAACCGGGAAGCTTAAATGGTGCATGGATGGCATTGCTTAATGCCACACTTGCAAATGGCACACCTCTAAGGCACATCAAAGCACATCATGTTCCCAAGGACTTAGTGGCATTGTACTGAAAAGACCACCCACACCACAAAAACTGTGCTTTGTTATGCCATAAATGTGAGTAATGGAACCCAATGGCTCTTGAATGAATCAGATGTGCAAACAACCAAAGAAGGCCCCGGTCACACGAAAGGTTTTGGGCCGGGAGAGGGACAGATTGAGGGCACAGCAAACGGGCGTGATACCACCGCAACTTCTCGGAAACGTTGCACACCCATCCCCGATCTGGCCCTTCCGGCCAAAAACCCGCATCAAAAATACACCACCTCCAGAGGAGGTCTTACCGGAACGGCCGGGGCAAGCGTGGCTGTGGGATCACTGGCGTGTCCTTCTGCCGGCTCATCCCCGGCTCCTGGCCGAACTGCGCATGCTCACACATGCGCAGTTCGGCAGCCTTTGTCCCCGGTCTCCCCGGCACCTGAACGTGCCGGGGAGCGATTGCGCAGTGGCTCACAGGATCTGTATGGTCCCGCCACCACGTCTCTATTTTGGTGCAGCTTTCAAAAGCCGCACTTTGCCCGTTCTTTTTCCCACCCGTGTGGCAGGGACCGAGCAGAAGAACTGCAGATGGTTACCAATATCATCTGGCATTGCCATTGTTACTGTGCATATGATGGATGGTAATTTCACCACAATTGATTGGTTGGGGTACAAAATTTTGCCCAGATATTGTTAAAAGCAATCGCCACTGTGACTGAAGAATTGTCAGATGGAATTTTGAGGTCTGCCGAATGCAATGAAGACACCCGAAATATTTTCGGTTGTGATCCGTCCACTAAGTAGATAATCAAACTTTCACACTCACCTTCCCTTGGGAAAATACACATGCAATACAATATCCCCCTTCTCTAGTTTAGGTATTGATATCCATCCTGACATAGATTTAGAACTACCAATCTATATCAATCATCAGCACATTTGTGAAGTCATTATAGTAAATAAACTTTAGAGTATATCTTTAGTTTTACCGATGCTGCCCCACATGCCAATTCCTCCATGAAAGAAAAGGATTCCTTTTCTGGGCTTTGTGGCAGGCACTTTTGGCTGGTACAGCCTCACAGTCACGTCTTCAAACTGAAGATTCTGAATATGAAGCTTTTTGTCTTTAAAAGGTGGGATTCCATTGACTGCTTTCCTCATAACTGTATGTTCATCACAGAGGCTGATCTTCCATGCTATGTAGCCCTGGTTATATGGATAAAACACAGAATTCTGATGCTTAGAGCTCTTTGGAACTTCATGCAGACTGAAAAGGTCCCACTAGTCTATTTTGCTTTGAGGAAGAGTAGCTTGAGAGCCACTGTGGTGTAGTGGTCAAGAACGGCAGAGTCTAGTCTGGAAAACAGGGTTTGATTCCCCACTTCTCCACATGAAGTCATATGGGTGACCTTTGGTCAGTCACAGTTCTCTCAATCCCATCTACCTCACAAGGTGTCTGTTATGTGGAGAGGAAGGGAAGGCGATTGTAAGCCACTCTGAGACTCCTTCAGGTAGTGAAAAGCGGAGTATAAAACCAACTCTTCTTCTTCTATTAATGTGGGAAAGATCGTCATTCTCCACTACTAATCACTATCTGGCACATGTCTAAGTCTTCAATTCAAAAAGGTTTCCTAGTAACTTGTGCCATTCAAGAAAGTGAATCATGAACCCATTTACCCCAATAAAACCACTCATCTACTAACCAATAATAATGGTGATGACATTTATTTACCTCTATGGACAACCCAAAGTTCCCTATATCATTTCTTGCTACATTTGTTAACATTTTGTTAGTGGTTTAGGTTCACTGTCAAGTTTACAGATGGATTTATACTAGACCTGAGTGTTGCATTTTTTAAAAAAACATAATAAATATAGTATTTATCGATACAATGCTGGATTTATGGATGCATCAATAAAGCTGTTGGGGAAAATCCAATGTGAGGAATCAGGAAACGGCACAAAAATTGAGAGTTGTTTTTTTCAGTTTGTCCAAGGGCAGAGGAGCAAAGTTAAACTGGGGATTCAGGGGTTAAAAGAGCAGGAAGTGGAAACTCACGATCATATAGCTGACAGCTGTTTGGGAATGTCGATGAACGGCCTGCTCCACCCTGTCCTCCAAGGTTTTCCCAACACCTGGAAAGGATTTTCTCTCTCTCTCGGGTAACCACTGCCACTACCTGACCTTTGTAAGGAATTGCCTGCTGGGAGGGTAAAGACACCCAGCTTCCAAGTTCTGAGGCCTTGTGTCTGTATGTCCCACTGCCCAGTGCCTGATCACAACAGGGACCGTTTACTGCCTTGTGCACCCTTGGAGGTATAGCCACTTGCCAACTGCCTGCCTTCTCCCTGGCATTCTTTTTAAAACAGCATGCCCAAGATGGTGGAGGTCTACAGAGAACCACTACCAGCATCAGCAGGTATGAAGTATTTATTGAAGGGAAAATGTTTGCACGCACAGATTGAGCAAGGGATTCAAAAGAAATGGGTAAAACACAAATCCGCTGTCCCTCTCTCTATACATGCCCTATCATGTTTAGGACAGGTTCCTTAGCTTAGGGTGTTATAGATCTCTACAGACTTTCCATTACCTTGCAGCTTACTCCAGTACAAATATCCATGGGAGCATTTGGGGGCAATGCCCCCCACAGATGAGTGCTGCCCCCTCAGACAAAAATTCAATTTCCTTTTTAGAAATGCCAATAAAAAAAATAAAAATAAAAATGTAAGATGCACGTGGGGTTTCCAAAAGGACCTGGGCAGAGAAGAAGAAGAAGAGATTGGATTTATACCCTGTCCTTCACTACCCAAGGGAGTCTCAGAGCGGCTTACAAACTCCTTTTCCTTCCCCTCCCCACAACAGACACCCTGTGAGGTAGGTGGGGCTGAGAGAGCTCTGACAAAGACTGTTCTTTTTCAAGAACAGCTGTGCCAGAACTATGGCTTGCCCAAGGTCATCCAGCCAGGTGCAAGTGGAGGAGTGGGGAATCAAACCCGGTTCTCCCAGATTAGAGTCTGTGCACTTAACCACTACACCAAACTGGCTCTCATAGTCAGGGAAGCTTCAGTCTCGTTTTCTTTTTTTCCAGGCTTAAAAATAAATAGGTTTTTAAAAATGCAAAATAGAGCTGCTGGTTCTTCTGCTGCAAGAGGAGCAGCAAGTGCAGCCCGGGTGCCCACCTGGATTGCCCCACACCACACCAACCAAAATTTTCTGGCTATGCCCATGCAGCACATGGTTAATAGTCACCTCCTCCAGACCTCAGTTTAATGTTCTGTCTGCTCTGATGGAGTTTTACCACCTCTCTTTTCCCCACCCACTGACCAGGTCAGGCTGGGTCAGAGAAGCTTTTCCTGGAGATTCTTCAGAAATTCCTTCCTGAAGTCTCTCTAGGATTTAACACGTCCAAATCCCTGTTTCTTGTTTAAAGGGAGGAGCTTGACCATCCCATTGTCTAGACCTATTAGCATTTGTATGAAGGTGGCTGGGGTTGGTCTTGAATGCAATTGAACTGACTGCCGCCCTCCCAGCCCATTCTCTGTAGTGTCCCCAGAGGCAGAAAAAAACCTTTTAAAACTTGGAGTGAAGTTTTTGCTCATTTCATAGACAAAATGCATTGCTTCACAGGGATGTTCAAGACATTTACACCCACAGCCATTAATCCTTGCAACCACGTAAAGCAGGACAATATGATTATCACCAGAGGTCAGAAATGCCTGAGATCAATCCACAAGTAGCAGCTAATGCAATTCACCAGGACCAGGAGAGGACACCTTAGACAAAACTTGCTCAGTGCCTGAAGTCCACGTAATATTTCACAGTTTGACTAGGACGTCAACTGAGTGATCATCAAAGGGTAGCAGACATATTCTGGTAAAAAGTTCCAGATCCGTAACAGGGCAATCGTCAAACACTTTCCAGGGAGTAAACTCCCCTGAATAGACCTGTGTAGGAAAGCGATGGGGAACCTAAACAGCATGATAAAAAGTAGAGACATCACCCTGCCAACAAAAGTCCGCATGGTCAAAGCAATGGTATTCCCAGTAGTCATGTATGGCTGCGAGGGTTGGACTATAAGGAAGGCCGAGCGCTGAAGAATAGATTCTTTTGAATTATGGTGCTGGAGAAGACTCTTGAGAGTCCCTTGGACTGCAAGAAGATCAAATCAGTCAATCCTAAAAGAAATTCAACCCTGACTGTTCCCTGGAAGGCCAGATAATGAAACTGAAGCTCAAATACTTTGGCCACCCAATGAGAAGGGAGCACTCCCTGGAGAAGACCCTGATGCTGGGAAAGATTGAAGGTCAAAGAAGACGGGGACGGCAAAGGATGAGATGGTTAGACAGTGTCATCGATGCAACGAACATGAAATTGAGCCAACTTCAGAGGACGGCGGAAGGCAGGAGGGCCTGGCGGGAGCTGGTCCATGGGGTCGCGAAGAATCGGACTCGACTGTGCGACTGAACAACAAAAAAGATTCTGTGTAGACATGCTAGGATTTTTCACAAGAGTGCACTTCTAAGTAAAATTATACCCTTTAATGCCTGTTAACTTCAATTGACTCAGCAGGGTGTAACTCTGCTCAGGACTGTTTCTCTGTTAGCACGATCCTGCCTGAAGCTTTCCTCTTAACCCAGTGTGCTAATGGCATCTTTAGAGGGCAAAGAATTCCATATCCTGGAAACCACGGTACAGGAGTTTCTTTCCTGGGCATGTGCCCAAAATGCCCCCTTTAAGCTGTGGAGTCTCATGAGCAAAAATTCTACTTTCTGAGCTTACCGGCTTTAAAGTTGTGAGCGAGTGATTTGGCTGCTGCATAAATTAGCTTGCTCGGGAGCCCTCCTTCCTGAGCTGAGACAAAAATGTGTGAGCCAGAGGCTAAAAAACTGAGCTAGCTCACAGAACTCAGCTTAGAGGGAACACTGGTGCCAACTCCACATCCTGTAGGAGAGGCTCTCTGTTTTGCTGCCGACCCCCTGCATAAAGCAGAGTGTTGACCAATGTTCCCTCTAAGCTGTGGAGTCTTGTGAGCAAAAATTCGACTTGGTGAGCTCCTGGCATTAAAAGTTGTGATCGAGCGATTTGGCTGCTGCATCAATTAGCTTGCTCTAAAGCCGTCCTTACTGAGCAAAGACAAAAATGTGTGAGCCAGAGGCTAAAAAACTGTGAGCTAGCTCACACTAACTCAGCTTAGAGGGAACACTGGTGTTGACATCAAAAGGAGCACGTGAGTGGGAGGAGCCAAAGCCTCCCCCAAAATGTAAACTATTGCAATAGCCGCCCATGTAAGGCCAGCCTCTCCTCGCCAGGCAAATGCATTCTCCTGTCTGGCGTGCTGAACCCATTTTGAAATTTGCTCAGATCAAAAAGCAACACACTTACTACTCCATAGGCAGCCATGAATCCAATATGGAAGAGCCTCATCTTCAGCGGGTTGCACAATCCAGGAGGGAATTCAGACCTAAAGAAATAAAGGTAAGCCACCCAAGCTGTCAAGAACACAAAGCAAAGAGGAAAAGCCAAAATGGCGCCGGCCGTCAACAACAGAACCCGTTGGAACCCCATCTGGTTAAGCAAAGAGCGCAGAAACAGTCTGCAACTTCGTTGACTTCTGGATACTATATAGCTATTGATCATAGCCGGTTCACAGGAACACACCTTTTTAATCATAGAGAACATTCATAAATTAATTACAGTGGATGCTAATTGAGGTCCATAAATGAATGGGTTCAACTGTTAATTCACCTTGACTCTTTCTTGGAAGAGTTGTATTGTCTCTGGGCATGAGGAGGGGAAATCTAAAGTTCTTAAGGAGAATTAAGTATACACAGGCCGCTCGGCTACTCAGATCAATGGAACTTCAAAGTGCTGAATGTTATCTGAACCCTGCACTTTAAGGGTAGATAAGTCTGACCCCATCATATTTCAGAAGCTAAGCAGGGTCAGTCCTGGCTAGTATTTGGATGGGAGATTAACAAGGAAGTCCAGGATCATGACGCAGAGGCAGGCAATGACAAGCCACCTCTTAATGTCCCTTGCCTTGAAAACCCAACAGGGTCGCCGTAAGTCAACTGTGACTTGACAGCAACAACAGCACAACACACACAAGTGTACTTCTGGACTTGGAGTGGGGGCAGGACAAACATTTCATGCAAAAGAC